ATATTTATATGTATATGTATAAATGATGATGATCATGGAAATTTGATTGACATGATCTGAGAAAGCTCGGCATACGACTATATATTGCTTGAACTGCCTTCTGTTTGCTTTCATTGATGGGTTGGCAAATAATTTCCAAGCCTTGGTTGTATGAAGTGTCTGGGTGAATGTAAGCCAAATACACATTAAGCACGAACACCTCTGTTTACTTGCGAAGTGTCCCGATATGCATGTGCATCTCTCTCTATGCAAGAGTCCTCAAAGTTGTACTTGTTTTGCTGTATTCGATATATGTCCCTACAGACATTGTATGTAGAGTGTCTTTCACTTCCATCTCCATACAGTATCTTCTGTGGTACAGACCCTTCGAATATAAACACATACATGCATGGATGGGCGACCTCTTATACTGACGTATGTTTGAGCATAGATATCAGTTGGCGTGTGTGTACCTATATATGTTTTTTGTCTTCATATAAATACACACACCCACTATCAGCAATTGTTCTGACTTCAGCAACCTCTACCGACTCCTGTGCACAACTCGCTGCTTTATATCGGGGTGTAGGGCCAGGATCTTTTTCGCTCACGCTCAGCTGTTTCTAACCCATATAACCCCTTCTTTCTTACCTACTACCTGACAGGCGTTTATCAGCAGGCACGTACGCGAGTTCTTGTTCTTCCCCTCAGTCTATCTGGTGCAGCTCATCTGCTTCTTAGTCATGCTGTTCACCTTCAGAAAGCAGAAAAGTGCTATAGTCATGACCTTTGCCATGTGCGTGCTGCTGTATGTGCCTGGGTGGTTCCTGGTGGAGGGCTTGAAGGACCTCTCTGATGATAAAGAATGCCGGGTAAGCTTTGCTTCATACATCATGTATACGTTTATACATATATGCATATATCCGTACGTACGTACATACATACATACATACAAACGTACATACGTACGTACATAGATTCATACGTACGTACGTACGTACATATGTTCATATGTACATGCATACGTACATACATACGTTCATGTGTATGTTCAAAGCTTGTATGTGCATGCGCTCGTCTAGTTAAAAGTCCTCATGTTGGAAAAGCGCGGTTGTGCACATGGCCTTATTGGTGCGGTTAGACAGCACACAATGTGTGGGAATGAATAGAATACGTGTGTACATGCACAAGCACGTGAACGCGCAAAGTATCCGTTCTGTGTGAAAAGGTGTATGCGTGCCTGAGATACATACCATGTCTGTATGAAAGAAACTCCGCTATGTCAAGAAAGAGACGGAAAGTTCACTATGTTAAGGAGATATTCATTCATGTCTCTAATGTTTAGTACGTATGGAATAGTTTTAGGCGAATATACGGTATTGATTACGTTGTTTTCAAACGACTGATATTTACAATGATATAACCACCTTTTTTATTAAGAACCGAATGTTAGAATAGACACGTCTCAGCAGATGACCTCCGGCCCCATCAGGTAGTAGCACATGCGTGCGTGTGATATACAGTCTTGTGTAAGTGGTGGCCTGTACCAGTAGTCGGTGCGGTGTATCGCACACACACCCCTGGCCTATCCCTAGTGTGTGCCTCATATATCTGTACACGTGCAGTTGGTGTGATGTATGCCACACACACCCCTGGCATATCCCTGTGGCAATGGGTTCAGGGCGTATATATAATACAACTGATTGAACGTGGATTCATATTCTATTAAACTAATACTCCTATCCTCCAAACCCCAACAGCCGCTGGGTGAGATATGACACAACTACTTGTAGAATAAATTCATATACCTATCAAACTAATACACCTAGCCTTTTAACCCCAACAGCCGCTGGGTGAGACCACGGGCAAAACCAATGGGTGGTCTGGTCACTGGTACTACATCATGTACCAGTTTCTCACCGTCCACTACTCCGCTCTCCTGTTAATGGGACCGGTTGGGTCCTACAGTACAACGGCTGGGAAGTCTAACGCGTCGCAAACGCGTTCGGTGTACCTGTTGCTGCCCTTCTACACGGCTGTGGCCTTGTTGATTAACGGAATGGCCACGTGGGTGTATGGATACCATAGCCTGCAGCAGTGCTTCTTGGGTTCGGTGTCGGTGAGTGCGTTTGCTAGTACGCGGCTTTTAAATGGCCATCTGTATCTATGTCTACATCTTTGACTATATCTATATCTATATCTACATATATATCTATTATATTCATATCTATATATATATATATATAATATATAAATATATATATATATATATATTGATATATATATATATATATATAATATATATATATATATATATATATATATATATATATATATATATATATATATATATATATATATCTGTATCTGATGTATGCGGGCGTATATCCATGTGTTCAGAATAACTATATATATGTGCGTGTGTTACAATTGACAAGTGTGTGCATGTATGCGAGCGTATATCCATGTGTTTAGAGTATCTGTATATAAATGTACGGTGGTACCTGGTTTGTCCTCGATTGGGTTTTGTGTCCCATATACTATTATACATATATATATGTATGTATATATATATTTATGTATATATATATATATGTATATATATATATATATGTATATATATATATGTATATATATATGTGTGTATATATATTTATATATATATATATATATATAATAAAATTTTAATCTCCGTATTATATACAATTATAGATTTATTTAAATCCATATTTTTATTTTCATATTATATACAAATATACTTTTTATATTGCCTTTTTGTGCGATCGTGGTGCCGCCATTCGGTGGAATGGCCACGTGACTGTAATTACATCACATCACAATATGAACAAACCTTGTTTCGCATTTGGGGAGTATATATAGAGAATGTGTGTGCACGTACGAGTATAGGTGACTACTACAATGGTAGTGTTGGTATAGGATATTGTCATGTGTGTATAAGCGTCGATGTTTATACGTTAATTCGTATGCGCCGTTATTGTGAGGTGTGTTTCTACACAGACGTGCTTATGCCACACTATGCCTAGATGTATTTACGAAATGCGTCTGCCTCCAGTTCACTACTTTGAATGAGAGTTTTTTTTTATGGTATATATAGTGAACAGTTTTGTGGTAGATGCCCAAAACCCATACACATTTTTCTAAGCCTTCACGCATCCAGAATAATTCTCATGCGAAAGGTCGCTGGTCTGCATCTACATAACGGATGATAGCCCTCTTTCATGTTTATATTAATCTGTATATATATATATATATATATATATATATATATATATTGTGTNTGTGTC